AAAAAAAGAAATTGAAAGTGACACAAAAAAGTGGAAGGACATTCCATGTTCCTGGATTGGAAGAATTAATATAATCAAAATGGCAATTCTACCCAGATTAATCTACATATTTAATGCAATGCCAATCAAAGTACCAGATACATTCTTCACAGATCTAGAAGGAACGATCAAAAAATTCGTCTGGAATCATAAAATACCCTGTATTGCCAAACCAATTCTACACAAGAAGAGAGGAGTGAATGGCATCTCACTCGCTAACCCAAAAATATACTACAAAGCTGTCGTCATCAAAATAGCATGGTTCTGGCACAGAAACAGACATGTGGACCAAAGGAACAGAGTAGGGTCTCCAGAAATAAATACCCAAACATACAGTGAACTCATTTTTGACAAAGGGCACCAGTCAGTCCAGTGGGAAAATGAAAACCTCTTCAGCAAATTGTGCTGGAAAAACTGGATTTCCACCTGCAGAAAGATGAATCTGAAACCCTACCTCTCACCTTTGACAAAAACAAGTCAAGGTGGATCAAAGATCTAAATCTAAGACCTCAAATTATAAAACTGCTCCTGGAAAACACTGGGGAAACTCTGGGAGACATTGGGGTAGGTAGGCAAAGACTTCTTACATAAGACCATCAAAGCACAGTTGATAATCCCCAAAATAGACAAGTGGGATTACATCAGACTAAGAAGTTTCTGCAAGCCAAAAACACAGTAATTAGTGTGAATTTACAGCCCTCGGAATGGGAAAATATTTTTGTAAACTATACATCAGATAAGGGACTGATAACAAGAATAAACAAGGAACTCTAGCTGCTGTTTGGAAAAAAATGATCAACCCTATTAAAAGATGGGAGAAGGAGTTGAAAAAAACACTCTCTAAAGATGACATACAAATAGCCAAAATGCATATGAAAAAATGCTCAACATCCCTCATCGTAAGGGAAATGCAGATCAAAACAACAATGAGGTATCGCCTAACCTCAGTTAGAATGTCTAAGATTAAAAAATCAACTTCAAAGGCACGTGCTTGCTTAAGAATTAAATGTCAGTGATAAGTGAATCAAACAACTCAGAATAGCCAAGACTATTAAAAAATGTTTAAGAATGTTCAGTTTCCAATTTGCAAATTTATTGTAAAGGTATACACACCAAGATGCTATGGCACTGTCACTAGGATAGACATAAAAAAGGGAGCAGAATTAAGAATCTAGAAATAAACTACAGTAGTAGGTCATCAGAAAAGTCATGACGCATTATTTCATGTTTTTCTATGCAAAAATGCGTCATGACTTTTCTCATGACCCAATATATAGGATCAGACTGATATTTTACAAAGATGACAAGACAAATTAAAATAAAAACAGATAATCTTTTTGACAATTGATGCTGAGATGTACCAAAAGATGGGATTAGACTCTTACCTTATACTATACACAAATATTAACTCTAAATTTACAGAAGATATAGGTGCCAGAGCTAAAAAAAATAATCTTTCAAAAGAAAATGTAGGAGAAAATATTTGAGAACTTGGATTAGGTAAAAATTCTTTAAACATAATACCAAAAACATAGTCTGTAAAAGAAAAAAATGAATAAATAGGATCTTACCAAATTTTAAAAGTGTTATGTGAAATGTTCACTTGGTAAGCTAAACAATGTGATTGAATGTATATAAAAATAAGTAAATTTTTAAAAATAAAATAAATAAAATAATTTTCTAATTCTTATTCAGACATTAAAAACAATCTGTCACTTTATCAATTGTTATATCAAAGAATCAAAGTTTAGGAAACACTTATCTTACCCACCATCCTAAATCATACTCTTTTTATCTCATTCTCATTAATTTTTGGACATCTTTCAAAGGATGTGTTTGAAGAGACCTTCACGCAACCCCACCTATATTCCTCTTTGGAGCTCAGGTTGGTTGCATGGGACCTTAAGATGAACTTGCACCCCATCTCACCCGCAAACCAATCAAGTCGGACAGCAGTTCCGAACACCAGGCAGCCTGAGGCTGCAAGCCTGATGGCTCCAGACCTGTCACTCATTCTCTGGCTTTTCCCCACTTGCCTTTGGACTCTTTGAATGTTAGTGATTTGAATAGCGTGCGGTGCGCCACGTGATTTCTTTTTTTGTTTTGTTTTTCTTTGCTCTTGTGGTGTTACTTATTAGTTCAATTGGAGGCTCACAACTCTCTAGAAACAGGGAGGGCTTTCAGCCATCCAGGACTACTGGCAACAGTTAATGGTAATGGTGAGCTACAGGTAGGCCGACCATAAGAGAAATCATCAATTTTCTAATCCTGTACAACTTTTAATACTTATTTAATACCTTTAATAAGTTAGGAAGCAACATGTAGATTACCTGGTGACTAGGAACAATCACAGAGGCTCAGGAAGTATGAGCAACCAACAAAAGGCCTCTCCCTCAAGGGAAATCATCAAGCCTACATCACCCACAGTCAATACAATGGACGTTGTGGACATGTCTGATAAGGAATTCAGAATATTTGTAGTGACCAAACTAACTGAGATGGAAGAGAAAAGAGACAAGGAGCTCCAGGAGATGAGGAAGTCCTTTCATAACTTGAAAGAAGAAATGGATACCTTAAACAAGAGCCAGATGGAACTTCTAGGGTTGAAGAATGTGATACAGGAAATCAAAACCTCCCTTGAAAGTATTAAAAGTAGGTTAGATCAGGCAGAAGATCAAATCTCTAACATAGAAGACAAAACATCTGACCTAGAAAAAAGCATCAAGACGATTAACAAAACAACCATGAAAAATGAGGATAATATACAAGAAATACTGGATACCATCAAGTGCCCCAACATCCAGATAATTGGTATCCCAGAAGAGGAAGAAAATAATAATGGCTTAGATAATTTATTCCATGAAATCCTGGAAGAAAAATTCCCAAACCTACAAAGGCATTAAAATATCCAGACCCAAGAAATACATAGGATCCCGAGTAGAATCAACCCAAGAAGATCCTCTCCAAGGCACATCATAGCCAGACTGGCAAAAACAACAGAAAGATACTAAATTTGGCAAGAGGGAAACATGAAGTTACTTACAAAAGTCACCCCATCAGGCTAACATAGGACCTCTCAGCGGAAACAATGCAGGCAAGGAAAGAATGGGGAAGCATAGTCAAAGTGTTGAGCGAAAAACAATTTCAACCAAGAATACTATACCCAGCAAGATTATCTTTCATGTGGGAAAAAAAGATAAAAACATTCTCAGATAAACAAAATTTGAAGAAATTTACCAACTCCAGACTGGCTCTTCAAGAGGTTCTGAAGGGAGTACTATACCAGGAAAACTAAAAAGTCAGACAGACAGTTATACGAAAACAAAAGGCAACCAAGAACATGGTTTACTTAATGATAGGATCAGGTACAGAAATATCGATAATTACATTGAATGTCAATGGATTAAATTGTCCAATTAAGAGACATAGACTGGCCAAATGGGGAAGAAAAAAAAACATAAACCCTGTATCTGTTGCCTACAAGAAACTCACCTTATGGATAAAGACCTACATAGACTAAAAGTAAAGGGCTGGAAAAAGATACTCCATGCAAATAGAAATCAAAAAAGGGCTGGAGTAGCGATAGTGATCTCAGACAAAATAGATTTCAAGATAAAGACTGTAAGGGACCAGCAGTTAGCATAATGGCTATGTCGCTAGACTCCCATGCAGTCGACCGCGGTTCACGTCCCGGACCCCGTG